GTGCGCCCCCGCCATTTGCGGGTGCCAGCGGTGAGAAATGCAAATGCAACAGAAAGGGAAAGTGCAATCGGTTGGAAAGGGGGGGTTTGCGCTCTCTCTCTCTCTCTCTCTCTCTTCATCATCATCTGCGGACTTCGGCTTGACGCTCTCAAGCTCCCTGCCTTCAGACCATGCCCGAATGCCGCCTTCGGCGGTCTACGAACACCTGAATCTAATATTACAGCTGTAGCCGTACGGCTTCGGTTCGGGATAGGCTGTCGTGCCACCTTGCATCGCCGGAGTAGGGCATCGCTTCGTGTGAGGTCTTTGCACGTCATGCCCAAACAGTATTCAAGTGGGTCGGCAGTACGGGTCTCGCGCCGGGCCTCAGCGGTGTCAAAGGTTAGCCCTGCCTGGACGGGGGCTGATATGAGCTGCAAAGCCCCTCAAACGAACAGGCTCAAGCACGTCACTTCGAGGGCATCTCGTCACTTACCGCTTCCCTCTCCAAAATATTCAGCTGGAATGAAGGCACTCGGAGTCAGGCCGGTCACCCAAGCAGGCACAACACAAGCCACCAATGCAAAGAATGCAAGTTGGCCGTTGCTGGCCTGGCACCCACCGGACAAGGGACTATGCCCCATTGCAAGGAGGACATGTTTGTCTGTCTCTGATCTTGCCGTCGTGTGACTACAGGGCTGTGTTTGCCTGCTCAGGGTGAGTGTTCAGAAACAGATGCGACGTGCTACACAATCTGGCTTGGGACGAACGGCATAGAGAGAGGCCGTGCTGGGCTTGCTGTTCTGTCCTTCTGCTTGATGCCTCGAATGAATACCATGTTACGATGCTTAAAACTTCACTCGCGGAATGGATTGCTCAGTGTCGCTCTGAGTCGAACGCTGCGGATGCAAAGCGAAACACGAAAAATCGGAATGAATCAGGCCTTCACCTCTCAGCGTTGCAATTCAACGGCATCACCGACCTCGTCTTCTCGTCTCTGCTCTAGCGCAACAGAATGCTGGGATTCCACTTCTCTAACGTCGCACCACTTTGTGGAATACGACGGAGACGGCGGGACATTGTCCTCACTTCTGGATCTCAAGGCTGTGCGCAGACAGGGTATGGAGACTTGCATGTCCAGGATGGTGGCATGCATCAGGTCCTTGGATCAGCAGAGTACAGCAGGCACCCCCCGCGTTTTGAGTTAATGAAAGGGAGGCGCAAGTGCCGACTTCGCACGAAGGAGGTGCGACGCCTGCCGATGGACCTGGCACTCTCAAACCCATCACTTGCATTCTGAGGTGAGAGGATTCCGTGCATCAAATCAACACGACGACCCGTACCTGCCGCTCGCCATCGTGCAGCGGTGGGTGAGCGTCGCTTCGAACCATGTGCTGCCCCTGGCCTGTCCGGAAATCCGTCCCATACTACCAGTAGCATTGTGCGACAACCAACTGCGAGGATCAGCATCAGCATCATCGAGGCAGCGGCAGCAGCTGCAACTTCGGCAAAGTAACTGAAACCGACATCCGCATACGCAACAGCACGGTGCTACATTGGGGCATCGCGAAATCGGACGATTTGCATTTCATGAGCTTCCTGGCTGCCTGTCCACGCCTGGCCTCCGGCACAACTCCGTCGGAGCAGAACGCTCTGCTCTCACGGTCGTGTCGCGGAAGATTCAGCAGCATTCGGTGTCTGGACACAAGTCTATGTCCACCTTGAGATGCAATGGCTGTGACCTCTGCTTTCACCTAGGGTTCAATATCTTGGCAACCCAGACTGATGTCTTGTGAGACCGCGCAGTGTTGCACACGTGACATCCGGAATATCTTCCACATGCAACACGTCTTCAAAGTCTGATCGGCCGAAGTGGTTGCGGCAGCAGCGGGGCACATGCCTATACACCCGTGCCCCTTTCCCTTACACCTCACACTCCATGACTTTGCCTGCATCGCTTCAGGTGTGTGTTTTTCTCATCTCGGGACCGACAAGTTCAGCCGTTTCCGCTTGAGGGCAGGCGCACCATCGGATCGGCATCACTGAGATACTCCTCGCACGGAAAAGTCGACTGGCAAGCGAGAGATTTCTGAGGCCGTCTGGGAAGCCACGAATCCTCGGGCAAGGCGGACAGCGCTCGCAGCTCCAACACATCCCGGCTCTCCTCGCAGAGTCACGAAGTTTCGAGCTGGGGGTTTCCGAAAATAGGGGACCCTAATATAGTACCCTAAATAATAGGATCCTTATTATAAGGACCCCAAAATAATGAGGTACCCCAATTTTCGGAAACTCCCAGCTGGGAGCCCAGGGGCTCAGAGGCCCAAGTCTCCTCGGCCTCACCAGGGCGGCCCCCCGCCTGGTATCACAGCATGAAAGGAAAAAAACTCCAACTTCGTCGACTGAAGGCTGAGCCCTAAACCCTTTTTTGAACCCAGACTCTGCCAATCGGTTTAGGGTTTAGGGTTTAGGATTTAGGGTTTCGGCTCTCACACTCGGACAATCCAGGCGAGGCGAATGATGAGTCTGCTGCAAAGTGAAACAACTGCACATGCACGATCAGCAACACAGCGAGCCCTTAAGATAGGGAACCTGTAAGAGACTTCAGAATCGCATGTGCCAACCAAAGTCCACGGCATCACCGTATCTAGTTCGTAAACTTCGGTCACTACGCCGAGGAGGCAACGTGGGGGAACAGGTAAGCATACAGGGCCTAAAAGGATCATCGAGCCGGGAGGGCTCAGGTGTACCGAATATCCTCCTTGGTAGCAGGTGTGAAACTAGATACCGCAATATCATACAAAGAGAGACAGATGTCACAGACAGCCTACAAGCTACAGTCCTGAATTACGCCTTCACATGCACCGGCATCACCGTGACACAGAAATACTCAGTTCGTGTGACGCGTATGCAAAATTCTTGAATTACGCCTTCTCATGCATTTATGTCACCGAAACTCAGAAGTGCTCGAATCGTGATCTGCTGTAGCACTCATTCAATCGCCAGCTTGGGCGTCCAGGGCAAGCTTTACTTTTGCCTCTCTGTTGCGGCAGTGGTCGTCAACGGTACAGCCCACTTTTACACCAGCAGCAGCGATTATGTCACAGTCAGTTCACATTGCTCATCTAGCACTTTCACATCCTGAGCTTTTACGCCGCACGGGCGCTGGGCTCGCTGTCCCACCAGGGTAACATCAAGCATGTGTGTCGCCCGTTCGGAGAAGCCATACCCGTGTGGTGGCCCATCCATCCAACCATGCATCATGCAAAGTGCATCCATGCAGAAAAGTCAGGTCCCTTGCACGTCACATAGCTCATGCAGGGTCCAATGCTTGCAAGACATGCATTCTCACCCATTGAGTTTGCGAGCTCTCACCAGTGTGTCTGCTCGTCCAAACATGCAGATAGTGAATTCGTTCTTCTGGCGCCTGATCCAGTCGTCACGCTCGTAGTTTGCATAATGGCTCCTCCTCACGACTGCCAGCAAAACTTTCCATAGCGTCAGCGGCGGCGGGGGTTGGTGGTTTTTAGGGAACGTTTAGCGCCTAGTTGGGGCCACGTGATTAGTCTGGATCCATGCAGACAAAACTGCACAGCACCCGCGGGCAAACCAACCGGGACAGGGTTAAAACATACTGAAAAAGAAGGGAAATATAGGGTATCGGGGTTAGAGGTAAAAGAGAGAGAGAAAGGAGGCACCTAGTCCAAGATTAATTAATAGTACAATGACTTCAATAGACTGCTCCTTGGGAAAGGTGAAACCTTTTGGCTTGGTTGCGTCTTGCACACAACATACCCGTTGGAGTAGAGGGTACGATAGCGGACGTTAAGGTCTCCACCCCGGTACTATAACGGTTTCCTGCGACTCCAACCTATGGGTGGAGGATGTGACTGAGTCCAGACAGGTCTCCGGGAAGTCGTCTTCACTATCAGACAGCATCAGATGCAACGGTTTATCATGCTTGAGTTTGCCAACTTCCCAGATCCCTGTCTTCTTTCCCGTGGCGAACGACAGCTGTTGTTGCGATAACTGACCCGGCCCCAGCGGTTGCATGGCATGGGTTTCACACTCAAAACTATACGGGAAGACAAAGCCTACTGCTTCCAAACATTCACGAACACATGTAGGGGCCGATGCCGCTCCCATTACAGTAAAAGCAACCATAACCACTCTTCGCTGGGTCCAGGGTTCGGTGCAGTGCAATAACGTCTTCCCAGTGAAACGTAATGGCTTGAATGGGGACAACTCACAACTGCAACCCCTTACTTGAGTCCCGTAATATTCTTTGAGAACATCACCTTTGGGCGATTCAATCCAAATGGCCCCTCCTTCAAATGGCTCAAACTCCATACAGCCTGTGGGTAGTGCGAGTTTCTTAAATCTCTGTGCAGGTCCTTTCCCGCAGAGTCTCGTATCACAACAGTAGAGAACTTATGCCCAGGACAAGTGAGTTCGATATAGGAGCAGACCTGTGCACAAAGATGTTGGAGGGGCGCCGTGGCCACACACATCTTACTTAGATCCCTGGGGTTGAGACCAATTTGCAATACCCAACCTTCGCCCTCCGCCTGTTTCCACTTTGCAGGACACTTGTCAAAAGCTTGCAGAATTTGCTCTCTTAAACTGTCAAGTGACGAAGGCAGGGGCAGTATGGTTCATTAGGTCTATCGCAGCTCGTTACCAAAAGGACTCTCGCTGCATCCTGCACAAATACTTTAGCAAACCGAGCACTTCCTGTTATCAAAGTCAGCTACGGCAAGTTTGCAAAAGGCTCGTAACCCTGAATTTCATGAGGCAAACTAAGGTCTCCGTGAACACACAAGACGTGCTGGTGAAGTGGGTGCAGCAGTGGATAATGCTCTTGTGGGGGAGGGGGTATGCCTGAAATCGAGCTCCAAAGATACAGCCTAGCACGCATTTCCCTGTGATGTCCTGTCGGCCACGCTATCGGTAAGTTCCACCCGGTGTAACACGCTGAATACATGTCCAGCGAGCAATATATTCTCAAAGAAATGTTCTCTACCCACTGAAACAACTCCTCATTCTCAGCCAAGCTTAACATCTCCGGTCGATCATCCCTGTGTGCAACAAGATTACTAACATTAACATCACAGATCGCATTCCAATACGGCCAAAACACGCAATCGTTTGTGTAAATAGGGAGGAAGGATCGCATATACCGAAGTCTGGTTTGCAGCCTAGCTGATGCTGCGTACGACAAGTGCGGGTACCACAACATGAGGAGTTCTTGTAGTTCGAGTGCTGAGATGCATTGACGTCTCAGTTCCCGAGGGGTTTTGGGGAGAACCAACTCGGGGTTTTGATTCATTTGGACTAGCGATGTCGTTGAGCCGCTTGATCGACTGTGCTGCGGCACGAGTGTATGCAGCATGCCGTGGTGTAGATTGAGAACTACAATGTGCAGTAGCTGTCTTACAAGGACGCATCACTGAAAGGATTATACCGGCATGTAGTATGTCGCGATTTCTTGAAACTGGCAATCTCCGCTTTTTGCGTCAGCGCCGAGCCCACCTTCCATGCATACTTCATTATGGTATGAATTACAAATTAAACGAAGTTGCAGCAAGAATTACAAATTCAAATTGTGGGGGAGTGGCTGTCTTCGCTACTGTGTAGTTTCCACTCGCGCAGGCGGGATTGCAAGATTATCAGCGATGTATCGCAGGGCTGGCAGAATGTCAGAGTGAATCAAAGAGTCATGCGAATTAACAATGCGAAGTATGTCACTAAGATGTGCCAGCACTGCTATTTCATTCCTGCCGGGTTGGGTCTGGGTTTGAGCAAGACGTCGCACTTCCTGGGACAGCTCGGCAAGACCTCTAGCTACAGACGCCGTATGCTCCATGTAAAGATTTTCTTCCTTGCTCATAACCTTGTCCCAGAGGTTTATGACGTCCTGGATTGACATGCAGAGGGACTCGTAAAGTTGGTCGATGTCCTTTACCGCACTGGTCAGTACAGAGTATCTACGGCCCAGATGCCTAAAACTCTCCTCCAACTGGTGCTGTACACGAAGGATCAGGGCCCCATGATCGCGGTTCTGGTGTCTTAAACCCTGCACCGCCTGATGTACCGGATTCTTCACGGATTCCGGGAAAACTGTCGCCTCTGGCACTATCACTGGTCTCATGGTTCGCACCAGGTCTTCTTGGTGTTGTGTAAGGAGTTGTGACAGCTTCCTCACTTCAGCTCTGTACTCTTTGACTTCAGCCTTGTATTGGTTGAACATGTTGGCTGCGGCCGCTACAAGAAGAACGAAGATCAGAGCATTCAACAGCTGTGGCGGAGGTTCCAGTACCCATGTTGGCGAGTCCGTCATTCCTTCCATGGCAGCTAGCGACGGTAACATTTGCCTGGGGCCAGCACTGCTGCGCAGGTAATGATGCAACCATGTTGGTGGGAATCCGACTATATGACAAGTCTAGCGTACAGAGTCTTAGCTGCGATTGAATTCGCGCTGCCGACCCCCGGCTGCCACTACGGCGCACAGTGCTAGAAAGTTTTTACGAGTTGTGTGTTGTGGGTTTGCAGATTTCAACTGAACGATTCGAAGGCTTCTTTTAGTCTGGCATGCATCGAATACAGTCAGTGAGGACCCGCGCAACCTGGACATGGTACAGCGGACGTGTCCTACGCAACATATGTCTGCCACCTCGTGCAACAAACCATAATTAAGAGGACGGTCATTAAGTTAGGACTGAAAGTGACGACAGACATACGTCAAGCAGAACAAGGAAGCCACTCTGAGCTGAAAACCTCAGCCGCAAACATGCATGCT